ATGGCTCGGCGATGCTCCGGCGAGTGGCAGTAGCCACAAGCGCTGCCCGAGTGACAGGCCCCCTTCGCCAAGTGGACGCACGGGCGCCGGCACACCTCAGGTGCAGGTTGCCTCCCCCCTCCCATTGGTGCACATTGCCCAACATTGCAACCGGGTCGTTTGCGACTTGATGAGGCCTGAGACGCTAAGCCGAGATCGATGTACCACACACTTGCAAGAGCGAGTCTCCTTAATGGATTGAGCCCCTCTCTCAACCATGACCCTTTGGTATTGGACGTTGGTCCTTGAAAGGCGCAAATCGCTGATCGTCACTGCCAAGTGCCAAACCACAACCGAAGACAAGGCCGTCCCAATCAAAATGAGCTGTGCCACTCAAAATCGCCTTGCCCGGCAGCCAGTCAGCGGGCTCTAAGGGGGACTCGGAGGGTTCTGGAGAAGGACTTTTGGCCAGTTCGGGACGCCCCTTGAAATCTTTGACCAAACTGCGAACTGCTTGGAGAGTCGAAAACTGTCTTTAAATCCCTCAGGACAATGTGAAAATTGTGCGGGACAACTCTTGTGGTTTGTCTTCTAAGAAAGCAAACATTTGGGAGGGCTCTGTTGGGGAATGCGTTTGATGGGTGCCGGGAAGGCTAAAATCTTCCGCGATTCTGGGCCAAAACAGGTTCGGCACACGGAATTTTGTCAAGATCCTCCTGTTCGTTCCTTTGGGGGGCTGTATGGAGCTTTCTGCAGGTCGCCGGGGGGGATTGGTGCGCCTGCGGGTGGCCCACACTGCCCGTACTCAAAGCGGGTGTTGGCGCTGGGGCCGGCTCGTGGATGCGCCGGGCCCGGTCTGGGAGGCAAGCCACCTGAGGTTCCAAAGAGACAAACATCCTCCAGTTGGAGACCAGGAACTTCACTAACCCCTTTGCGCTCCCGCGTCGATCCGAATACTCCCTCCTCCTCATGTCTCCCCAAGCCCCCCCCGACAGAACAAGAAACATCCCCATCCCTTGACTGTGTGTTGAACAAGCAACTCGTAAAGCATGTGCATCCATGTATATGCATGTTTGCATATACATGTTTATATCCACATCTGTGTGTATAACATATATATATATATATACATATTATACGTATATGTATTATACGTGTATATATATATATATATTATACGTATATGCACAGTATGCTTGTGAGGGGTCCAGGGCCTCACGACTCCAACTTCAAGACAACTGCATATTTTTCAGTGCCCATTCACGCTTGGATCATTTGACCGAAAGCAAGAATTGCAGCATATCACAAGAAATCAAAAAGTGATACCGCCACAGGCAAAATGGCTTCCGGCGTCCCAGCCTGGCGGCAAATCACTTGTTCCTCTGGCTCAGCCTCGCGCCCGCGCACGGGGCAGCTGCGGAACCGGGGCACCGCCGGCGCGGGCGCCTCATCGATAAAGGTGAAGCGGTAGCCCAGGGCCATTGGCAGTGGAACTCGAGCGCCAAAAACGGCTGTGGGCACGAGTACGAGACAACTCACTTCCAGCGATGCATTGCGTGTGAGTGTTCTGAGTGTTCTGCTAGGTCAGAAAAGATCTTTGCATTGCGAGGTACCTGTACAGCAACCTGGCATGGTTAAAGCTTGCTTTCCCCAGCTCTCATGCTGCAAACAACGCTCAGAGCTCAGTTGCGCCTCTTGGCTGGAGGCAGTTGTAGTTCACGAGGTTTCTTGGGCAGCGTGCCTCGGATGTCTCTGTTCCACAACATGCAAGCACCCTGGACCGCCCACACATGCCAAATGAATGAGCCTGTTCATGAGTGCAATTACGTGCGCACACACATACATTTACAAAAAGACACGGAAACACAAATGCTAGAATATATCAAGTCGCCAACACATCGACGGGCCATCACTCGGACAGCCAAATGCGCGCCCCAGTAAGCATGCATCTGGAAGCGAATGACAGGGTTGGCTGTGAAGGGAGGAGCAACAGGAGTTCAAGGTTATAGCGCTGGGTAAGGCTCAATTCCCGAGCAAATGGCTGCGTGCTGAGGGCCATCCGTCCAAATGACCTTGCTCTAAGCTCTGGCAACCGGATTTGCAAGTACTGCGAAGGCTGCAAACAAGTGGATCTCTCCCTTCTCTGCTTCACTCGCTCAAAAACTTTCTGTGCTCTCCCGCGCACCGTTCAGCACAACACGGGGGGGGGTGGTCGTGCCGTTCCCGGGAAGACGTAGCAGCGCTCGAAGACCATGGCATCGGAGGCCATGAAGTCCTGACTTCCGTCGCTTTGAAGCACGCCTTTTGACAAACCCATTTCCCAACAAATGGGAACATGTGTCAATAGAGGATCCTTTTGTGGACATTTAGGTTGGTATTATGTTTACCGCTTGTGGTTGGTGTTCCTTGTGAACAGTGGGAAAATCGGAAGAAAACACACCTCTGTTGTTCCCGGCATGTCCCTCCATAGCGGGAGCTTGCGAGACAAGCTCCCGCTACGCGCCCGAAAGCTACCAGAACAAGAAAGCCCTTGCCTCACTGCTGAGCACCTGCCGGCGACGTTGCCCAGCCCCTCTAAACCGAGCTTGGCGTTGCTTCCAGCTGCACGGATCCCATCTCGAAATGTTTGGCTCACATCGTGACATGTAGCCAGTGCGCGAAGACCCATGCGCACGTAGATAAATCTCCTGAAGCCTGGCAGACCACTTGTCCAATCTTTCCTCTTGGATAACTCTTTCAGGTTCCTTATGGATGTCTATGCTTAGAAGCACCGAAGCTCGCTGTTGCAGTTTGGGAGGACTGAAGTTGATGCCGAGGCCTCCCGAGCTCGATTCAGCGGCGGCAGCTCATACTTTGCCTCGTGGGGAAGGACTGGGCCGGGCTCCTAAAAGGCATACCCATCATACCCTCAAGAAACAGTGGTTTTTGGGACGGGGGAGTCACATCTGGCAATCTGATGCTTCAAACTGTTGCTTCGCAAAGAATGCCTGCGATCACGACACATGCCAGCCTGCTCCTCGTTGAACCCCTGGCCGCAGAGTTTGGCTGCCAATACGGGTTCGCTCCAAACTTCCAGTCTGCAAGCGGTAAACAGCCATCAAGTCGCCGCTTCAGCTATAAGAACGCGCAGTTGTGTCAGAATTTCCTTGCACCGCAACTGCATGGCCCAATTTCTATCAACTCAGTCGCCGTCCAATCGCAACGCGCCTCGCGGTTCGGCAGCGCGGCGAGGGACACCAGCCGCAGCACGGACTCCTGAGCCGCACTGTCTGGGCGGTCCAGCGTGAGTGCAAAATATGTCCCATCATGAAATGAAGGTGAATGTGTGTGTGTGTGTCTCTCTCTCTATATATATATATGTATATATATACACATGTGTGCTTGTTTCTTGCAATGTGAGTGTGGGCGGCGTCCCTTTGATGTCGGTTGTATCGATTGCTCATTCGAATCCAGTTGACCCCTTGTGGTGGTGTCATGTTGAAAGGAAACCGGAAAGGCTAAAAAATGTTCCCTCGTACCCTTCCCAAATTTCAACACGGGCGTCTGGCTTTTTTGTTTGCTTTATTGTTCAAAGGGAAACCAAGCCGAAACCAAAGAGGTTCCCGGTCCAACAATTGGTGTTTCCTCTCGGCATATTGAGTCCGTTTAGACCCTGCCACCTATTGGCAGACAAACCCGAATGAATAATTCACCAAAGCATTGAGCACGCTAAACTCTGCACCACGGCTCCTCTTCGTCGGAGATGGTTGCGATCTGGTCAAGTACAAGCACCGAGGAAAAGTGAAAAGCCAACTTCCAATACGGGTGTCAAAGCTAGTGACCCCTCCAAATGTGTGCCCTCATGTCCCTTGAAGCAGTCACAGAGCTGGATGCCAAACGCGCCTCTCTGAGTTTTTGCACTTGCTGCATGGGATCCATGGGAGCACCACCTGAGCCGTTTGATTTCTGCAGCATCGAAGTGGTGCTCCAATCACAGCAATATTTGCCGGTCTCGTCTCATGAAGGCCAGCTATGGGGGTGGGGACCCAAGCACGAGTGCCCAAGCAATAGCGTGGCGACCTTGCAACGGATCGTCCCAGTCTGAGGTGCAGGCGTGGAGGCTGCGGGAAACCGAAGTTCCTGAGCATCTCCCCACTGGAATCGGAGGGCGGAATGCGGAACGTGTCCCGAAATGATGCTCACTCTGAGGAGGGGTTGTAACCACGACTGGCAATGAAATCTAACACCGCGCCAAAACTTTGTCACAACCCCGACAAAAACAAAAAACAAACAAGCTCGACAGCGCATGGTTTGGCCCAAACGTATTGGATCTGCACATTTTGAGTTAGACGGCCTCTTGACCAGGAATGACGGTTTCGGCACTAATCAAACGTGCGCATTTTGAATCAAACGGCCGTTTGATAAGGGCGACGACGATATGTGGCCGCTGTATCTTTCGATTTTGAGTCAAATGGCCGTTTGACTAGGAAAATCTGTTTTGGCGTTTGACTAGGAAAATGCGATTTGGGCGCTGATCTTTGGATTTTGACTCAAACGGCCTGGATCTTTGAATTTACTAGGAAAATGCGATTTGGTCGCTGCCGTTTGAATAGGAAAACGCGATTTGGGCGGTGGATCTTTGGAATTTGACTCAAACGGCCGCTGGATCTTTGGATTTTGAGTCAAACGGCCGTTTGACTTGGAAAAGCCGAATTGGGCGCTGGATCTTTGGATTTTGACGCAAACGGCCTGGATCTTTATATTTTGAGTCAAACGTTTGACTTTGGGCGCTGGATCTTTGGATTTTGACTGGGAAAACCCGATTTGGGCGCTGGATCCTTGCATTTTGAATCAAATGAATCAGATGGCCGTTTGAACAGAAAGGCGATTGGGAAAACCTCAATAGACAGATCTGCGTTTGAAAAACTCAATATGGGTGAGAGAAAAGCCTGAATAGACAGATCTGTGAGGGAAAACCTGAATAGACGTGCTGTCGGGATGGACAAATTAAAAACTGTCAGTGTGTATATGTTGTCTGGTCGCTGTTCCACAGTATCTGTCATTGTTACCACTCCTCCTGCTCTAGTGAGCGTGTCCACTTGGACGGTTCTCCTTTCAGCCTCCGGGCACTTGAGGTGCAGTGCCGAGTCTCGAGTCGGAACCCGCGTTGCTGGTGGAGCTGGTGTTGGCGTCTGCGGAGAAGTTGGCCTCGGCCTCACGGGCGCCATCCCCACCCCGAGCCAAACGGGCCAAGAGCCAAAAACCCTTTTGGTGGAGCAGACGCAACACAGGCACTTGGGGTTTGCCTGTCACTCCTTCGCACTTGGTGCACCTCCGTGTCTCTCCCCCAGCCTTCTCCGCATCCTCGCTAGCTTGAGCTTGGGCCGGTTCACTGAAACCTGAGGGGAGCAATTCTGGCCGCGACGCGTGAAAAGCTGCCCATTCTGCCCCGTTTGCTTTGGTGGAATGTGTATCAGTCAGATGACGATCAGGCGGCTGCTTTGCTGAGCATGGGTACACCAAGGAGACCAACGACAATACCTCCAGTGCACCTTCCTTTCAACATATGGTTGTGGGTCAAAAATAGGTACCCAAAATGAAACCCTGGCAAATGGAACCAAGGACTAAAATCTGCGGTCCCCTGGTGGTTTCATTTTGACCCACACCCACATGACCAGCTTGGTGCCTGCGCATTTGATCCCAGCTGTGGAGCGCAAAAAAGAGCCAAATGCTGGCCAGCTCAGGCGCATGAAAAAGTATCCTTCGATTGGGATCCCTTGTTTCAGGCTGCATTGGAGTTAGACTCACCCAGACCTATCACACTATGCTACTTCCACGGAGCTGACTCGCCATCCGTCAGGCATTCAACAAAGAAAAGAAACATGAGTGCCCGACATGTAAGGATTTCTTATTGATGGCACCAAAAAGCATCCCAGGAAACACAGCTTCCACACAGCTTCCACTTGGAAATTCCCGGGGTCTTCCGTTCCAAGCTGAAAAACCTCCCGACTCCTTCGGGCCACCCTGCGACGGGCCCGCTGGAGCTGGCCCTCCAGGGAGGCAGTGCGCGCCTTGATGTCCTGAGCCGTCCCGTTGTCCCGTTGCCCATAGGACTGACACAGGTTGCATCTTGCTCAAATATCTTAACTCACATGTAATTTATGGAGTGATGCGAGTTTAGCTACAAATGAACTACTTTTCACCATCCAGGTTCTAAGGGTGATATTAGTGATATCATATAATATTATTCCTCATATCATCTTATTCCGTTGCTGTTTGATTGCAATCGATTTCGAACATGAGTCATGAGATGGGATAGGTGCCGCAGGCCCTTACAAACTCTCCCAATGGAACCTGAGAAAAAAGCCCCGCAATAAGGGTGCGTGTCAGTCTCCGTGTTTGTGGGAGTGCGTGTGGCTCTGACTTCAGTGAACTGGATCACATCAGTCAGGTCGCCGGTTGTCTTCGAGACAAGCGCTTCTTCCATCACGAAAGGTTCTCTCGCATCCCACACCCCCGATTCCCTGATCCCTCCTGTTGCGCTCTCATCAGCCACTGGCCAGTCTTCGGGGAAGACCATGTTTTGTCACTAACTGACCATTGTAGCGGTCAGGCCATCAGGAGACCAGCACGCAACCCGCCTTGGATGGCTTATCCCATCCCCAGATGTATAAGATTGCCACTAAGGTGGGACAGTCCAATGTTTGCTGAAGCCAGCTACTGGTTCGCCAGGCAAAAAAGTCGCCAATTTTGGCATCGCTTCCAATCAACTGAGCCAGTCAATCCTCCCCGCCTCATAGGCCTTGCGCCAAGTGCTGCCGCCCGGCTCATTGGGCGCCGGCGCAGCGGGCGCCTCACAGAGATCCCTTCGGGTTGGGACTGGCGTGAGGTGGCGTCAAAGAAATCAACCCGGAAATCTGGTGGAACGGAAGCCCCGGATGGGACGCCGGCCTCGATGTTGATCTTGATGCCTCGCGGAAGCCGACCGAATGCCGAGGCTTGCCAAAGGAGATGCAAGGGCTTGGCAATTTCAGACCCCTGACAAATACCACGCGTACGCCACCTGTGGGAAAACAAAACGGATCTTAGGGAGTCTAGATGATATGTTGCCCAAAGCTAATCCGCACTTGAAGTTGGAAAAGGCGCATGACTCCATCCAGCCACATCCCGCGGGCCGTCGGAGACTCCCAGCTGCTCTGTCAGTGCCGCCTGGGACTGGTAAGTTCTCAGATTCAAGTCAAATGCTTGCCTCTGCTTTCCTGTGTGTGTGTGTGTGTCGCCAAATAGAATATTCCCCAAAAAGGCTTCCTCGAAAAACACAAACCCACAGTATCCGACCCTTAAAAGGAAAAATCCTGTGGTGTACAACCTAGGTGACTGACCTCTGACTAATCTGGCTAAGCACCCAAGCGGCTTGCTTGTTTTGGACAAACAAGCATGGTTCGACTTGGAAAGCTGCCATGACGGCGCGTGAAGACTAGAATGAGTAGGAGTCAGTTGCACACCCACCATTTGTTTTCTTCCATGGAAAGCCTCCTTCAGCCTGGCAGCGCTTCAATCAAGAGGCTCTCCCTGCGGGCAAATGGAACAACAACTAAAATAGGAGCCGTCTTGCAGAACAGGGGTGTGAATTGATGTCTGTGATGAAAATGGGTTGCCGCGATTTTGTTTTTCCGGTGCTGGGGGCTGCAGGTACCGTCAACCTGGTGCGGGACAGAGATCGTAAAGGCTGCAGTCATTGAGGGGTGTTGACAGTCTGGGCTTGCTCTGAAATGATATTTGGTTGAAAATAACAAAAACGAAACAAAGGCAACATGTGTTTCCTCCCTTCTCTCTCTTCTCTCTCTCTCTCTCTCTATTCTTTCTCTTCTCTCTCTCCTCTCCCTCTCTCTCTCCCTCTCTCTCTCCCTCTCTCTCTCCCTCTCTTCTCTCTCACTCTCTCTCGCTTTGACCCCGAACCACTACAGTAGCAGCCTTGGCGGGATTCCCTTCATCCAGGGCCCTCCGATTCTTCGGATTCTTCGAGACCAGTCAAGCTCTTGCAAGGACACATCATCCGCAGCCCCAAGATCCAAGCTCATGGGCCGACAGCAGCTAGTCTGGGCACCGCTTGCCCAGCACGGTTCACATGTTGAACTGTCCTGGTCCCCTCCTCTTCGCTCGAGTCTTGGCCTGTCAGCTTCCTGGATAAGCTTGAGACACGCCCATCTCATTGGGGTGCGTTCGACTTGCCGCGGAAGCTTCGCCTCCAGCTGCTTCCCCAGCAAGGCGGCACGCTCAGCCTGGAGAGGGCGCTTCTGCCGAGGGCGCTTCTGCCAAAAGAAGTTGGGATTGAGACCCTAAAATATCACTAGAAAAAAACATCGTCCTCATGATTGATGTTGGACCCAGCGAGGGTGCTATGTGGTTGTCCTCTCTCTGATTGCTTGAAGCATAGACAGTAGCTGAGAAGCCCGTTCGAGCCCTGTGTTTCGACAGTCTTTGCCAAGCTCTCCTGACAGTTGACAACAGCCGTGGATATGTCTCCTTTGCAACTTCATCTGCCGCTTCCTCTGGGAAATGTTAAGGATCAGAAGCACCAAAACATGTCCAACCAGGCTCAGCCGCCAATATGTCAGGTTGGAACTAAGAATGCAGGGCTGTTGAGCGCTGCACTCGCGGATTTCAGCCAAGAAAAGTCCGCTGCGATTCCGCACATTGTTTTAGAAGCGCATTTGCTAGTGGGCGTAGCATTCTTGCGGAGTCAGATCAGTTCATTTGGCCCTTTGAAAAAGAGAGATCCTGCATGGCAAGGCATCCCTCCAACGGCGAAAGATCAGGCCCACACAACGAGATCGGTCCAACCACCTTGGTTGGACCCATCCCCCAAAGGTCCAAAAGTACGCAGGTAAGCAAGGCCGAGCAAGAAAACAGCAGAAAGCAACCAAAGCAAAAAGGAAGGGATCTAAAAAAAGGGTCACAAGAAAAGCTCAATGACAGACAGTGAGCACTCAATTACCCTTCCGCGTATCGGCAAGCACCTACCCGCATGAGAAACACAAAAAACACAAAACACACAACAAAATCAAAAACGAGCCAGAGAGAGAGAGAGAGAGAAAGATTGTGAAATCGCGAAACCCAACAAGTTTGCTCAGCCAGAAGGTTTCAGCGGCCCATGGGCGACGTCAGCTCCTCTCTGGCCCTGCCTCCGCTTGGTATGCCTCGCGGAAGATCTGCTCCGCCTCGCCGCCCTGGCGACCGGGGACCGGCGTTTTCTCCGACTGCCGGAGGCCGGCCGTTCTCCAAAGCGCCAGCTGGTTTCTTTGATCTTTGAGCCAAGGTACCGCAGTTCCAAAGGCAGGCCGTGGCAAAACCAATCCCCAACTCCCCAACTCCCCAACTCCCCAACCCGAAGCGTGGCTCCTGGATTCGGAGGGGCAACACTTGTCGTGTCTTTGACAATTCGAGTCAGAACGACACCAAGCAACGCAGCATGCAAAGGCTTGGCAAATGGCCCAACATGAGGCGCGAGCAAAATCAGATGCCTGAATGTATAATTGTGTGTGCTGGTCAAAACAGGGCATGTCAAAGTCGCATGACTTTGACTCGTGCAGGCCTTCCGAGTCAGAAACTTCTTGGTGCTTGGCATGAGAATGGTAAAACAAAAGGATCTATTTGGACCTGGTCCCGTGCAACCCAGCAAACCAGCGTGCTTGCCCGGCTTGCCTTCTCAACCATCTTCCAATAAAATCATCACATGCCTTGCCCCTCGGCCCCCGAGTTGATCGGTGTCGGGCCTCCGTTGCCACAGCCTGGCAGGCTCATGCTCAAGTCGAAACCCTTCCGAGCAGCTTTCGTTAGCTTCCCTCGCCCGGCCTCGACCTTCTCCTCGGCCTGCGTTCTCATGGACAACATGTGGAGGGGTCCCGATCCACAGGCATGTCACGGCATGTCAATAGCTCGCTTCCAAATAGATCACTGCCCCTTCCCCTCCCTGGCTCTCCAACATGGAACCTTGAAGAAGTCCACCCGCCATGACGCAACACTCTCCGCGCAAGTCCCGCTGCTTTCGACCTTTTTGTCACGCAGACGCGGGCATTCCCAGCGTCACCACATTCAGGGAGCTCTTCTCCTCCTCGTCGGCTTGCTGGCGCCGATAGCGGCGGTAGAAGAACCACGCGCAGCATTTGCCTGATGGCAAATCCGTTTCGCTTTTCATCCCCATCCTTGCAAAGAGACTGCATGTTTTCTGCATCCCATGCTGCCAAGCAACTGCAGACCACACCTCGGATCATTACTTGGCCGACGGCTGGCTGCATCGAACTCAGCCAAGCCGCACAGCACCAGCGCCACCGCAGCCGCCCAGGGCAACCCTGTCTCGCCTATGAGCGGCGCAGAAAGGAACCGGGTTAGGGATGGATGCGTGGATGCGCCATAGGCACATAAATCAACACACAAAAAGACCTCCACATTGGCTTCTGTGCTAGCCTCCTGCGTCCTCAGGAGCATCTGGCGGTGTCTTTGACCGCACAAAGTCCACGGAGTCCATGATGGCTCCTGGCAGCGACAAGTCCCCGCCCCACGCCCACCTAACACAATGGGACATAAACTTGCAAATCTTCTTTCAGCGTACCCAAAAAGAACTTCACTTGTTGGAGCACCCGTTTAGGGGGTACCGCATGTGCAGACACACCCAAGCAAGATCTGACACCTTTGCAACACTGCCGGTTGCGTTGTGAAGCCCCGAAACCTCGAATGCCCACTGCAGTCCCAGGCGCCGTCGATGGAACGCCGCGCTTGGAAACTCCCTCCGTCTTCCCGCAGAGTCAGCACGCCCCAGCCGTAATGGGCTCCAGAGCGGAACCTGTGCACGCACCGCATAGAAGACGGCAAAAAAGCGTCGTCACAGCACCGCGACTCAGGGAAAGCATGTCGTAATCTTTGGCAATGATAAACATGTTTACATGTCCTAGCCTCCTAGCCCGATCATCTCAATTGCGGGCGCAACGCTGGCTTTTAGGTTGAAGCATTAGCCAGCCAACGGCGATTTGAGCCCCTTGGAGCTACAACGGCCACGCCATGACTGGTTCATGTCATGGGAGCCTGCTGAACCAACACCATGCCATTCGATGAATAGCTTCAGACTAGCGAGGACTGATTCGGTCGACTCGCAAGCCTTCCTACAAGCTTTGAGTCTTTCACTCGAGCTTCTTGCATGCAAAGCCGCGCGGTGAAGGGGCTCTCTCGCCAAGTGTCGTAAAGCTTCTCCTGAGCAAAGCTTCGCCGGACTCTGACCATTCGAGCAGGGTCCGACCTGCAACCCAGTCAACCCATGTTCGCGCCACCCGCGGCATGCACCACAAGTAGTACCCCCTGCATCCAAGGAGCGAAGTTTCCCCCGTGGCCCACCACGAAGTGCCGCACCCCATCCACGGGCTCAGACCGCTCATAGGCGTGCACATGGCCACTGAAGACCAGGTCTGCCCTGACCGCAGTCAACTCTTGGATTGACACCACTACTACTGATATGATGGAAAACCAGCCACCTTTCAGGGCCCGAAACATCGAAACCTGGGTTCTGTAGTGTTCACATGTGTACACAAAATACGCATGCAGATATGTGTATGCATGTGTATATATATATATACATATAGATAGATAGATAGATAGATAGATAGATAGATAGATAGATAGATAGATAGATAGATAGATAGATAGATAGATAGATAGATAGATAGATAGATAGATAGATAGATAGATAGATAGATAGATAGATAGATAGATAGATAGATAGATAGATAGATAGATAGATAGATAGATAGATAGATAGATAGATAGATAGATAGATAGATAGATAGATAGATAGATAGATAGATAGATAGATAGATAGATAGATAGATAGATAGATAGATAGATAGATAGATAGATAGATAGATAGATAGATAGATAGATAGATAGATAGATAGATAGATAGATAGATAGATAGATAGATAGATAGATAGATAGATAGATAGATAGATAGATAGATAGATAGATAGATAGATAGATAGATAGATAGATAGATAGATAGATAGATAGATAGATAGATAGATAGATAGATAGATAGATAGATAGATAGATAGATAGATAGATAGATAGATAGATATAGATAGATAGATAGATAGATAGATAGATAGATAGATAGATAGATAGATAGATAGATAGATAGATAGATAGATAGATAGATAGATAGATAGATAGATAGATAGATAGATAGATAGATAGATAGATAGATAGATAGATAGATAGATAGATAGATAGATAGATAGATAGATAGATAGATAGATAGATAGATAGATAGATAGATAGATAGATAGATAGATAGATAGATAGATAGATAGATAGATAGATAGATAGATAGATAGATAGATAGATAGATAGATAGATAGATAGATAGATAGATAGATAGATAGATAGATAGATAGATAGATAGATAGATAGATAGATAGATAGATAGATAGATAGATAGATAGATAGATATGATGTGTATATACACATGATATGACTAGAGCCTTGCCACAGTCGCTCGCAATGCTGGTTGGGTTCGATTTTGTGCCACTGGCCTGAGGAAACATAACATTTGCCCGATGCTTCCCTCCGGGGTGCCTTTACTCTCGAAGGGAAAGCAACCCCCGCGTTCAGGACGAAAATGAGAAAGAAGCTGCTTGCAGCTTGCCCACTGCGGCCAAGTGTCTGCCGCAGCAGCGGTTGCGCAGCATCCCGCAACCGGCGCGTGGCTGCCTGGGGCTTGGCCAATCCATCCCCGATGCCGCAGCCAGAGGTCAACTTACTCACGTCATACAGCGCAACCCCTGCAAGAAAACGGCTGGCCTCCACTTGGGGCTGGTGAGCCCTCGACGTGTGCACCCAGGGAGCGTGCGTCAGAACCTCGCTTCGGAGCGAGGCCGCCCGCCTCCAACTGTTAGGGTGGCAAAGAATCTGGATGCCAATTCTGCACGCAGAACACTCTCTCAGACACCTTGGAAAATGGCCGGCACCTGTGAAGTCAACGCCGAGCCTAGTGCCGGCCACGGAGCCACCAGGAAGCCCGTCTTGGCCGGTCTCACCTCGTCCGCCAGCCACCGGATCTGTGGGGAGGAGGCAGAGGCGTCGGTGTACCTCCGTTCACCCAGACGTCTGCCAAGTGCAGCACCGACAACTGTGTCAAACTCTTAGAACTCTCATAACTCTCTAAGAACCGTCAAAAAGAATGCCTCTTGGCCATCCGTATTTATGCCCGCTAAATGTATGCATTGCATTGATCATGGTACTGTGGGAACGTGTCCTTTCTATCCTTGCCTCGTGAAGTCAAAAAGCCTGAGTTCTAAGTTCTAAGTCCTGAGTCCTGCGACCAGTGACCCAAAAAGGGTGGGGAGCGCTGAACATCTCTGGCAGTCAAACGAAAGAGTCAAAGGAGTCCGATTCTCTGGGCCGGCGTGGCACCGTGCTCGACGCAAACCTGGTTCACCTACAAGTCCTCAAAACCCCACGTTCGCGCCACTTGGCGCTAAGTGTCGGGTTCAGCGCCACAAAGTGGGCAGGCCCCGAGCGGAAGGAGAAGAACGAGCCCCCAAAGTCGTAGCGCGTCTGCAGCTCATAGCTCCGCCAGTCCAAGATCTGACGCGAGCTTGCGTCTCATTGGCACGGCCCATCCAAAAACCGACCCATAGCGTTGAGACAACATCCTGACTGCACCGCACTGAAACCAGGAGCAACCATTGTTTGTTGGTATTTACAGGGGATTCATTATTCCAGGGGCTTCTTAGGTGGAGGATCATGCCGCGCCCGGGAGTCGTTGGTCACCTGCTCCGGCGCCGCCTCGGGAAATCGCCAGCGCCGGCGGAAGGGCAAGAAGGGCTCCCCGCTGATCTCGTCCGGCTCCGCTTCCTGGAGACCCAGAAAGGCAACAACCTCCACATGCCTCCGATCCCTTCTCTGCTCTTTGTGCTGAGGTCGTGAGCCCCTTCCGCTCCGCATTCTAGAGGGGTTTTGCCTGATAACAGACCGGACGCAGCTTATGAAGCATAGCGTTCCATACACAACGACTCTTCTTGAGCCCCTTCTTTCAAACTTAAAACCAAAACAAATCCCTTGCAAGCCTCCCCGACCAGGGCTGTGGGAAATGACTACCTCTGTGGTACAACAAAAAGGGGCCTCCCAAAGACTAACCCCCCATATAAAGAAGGGATTCCCTTGTATCACAGAAGTGGGGATAAGCCCCTTGATCCCACAACCCTGTCCCCGACCCACCCCAAGCCCCGGTCATGGTTACCCGGCAGCACCAGCCAGGGAATCTCCGCGCAGCCCTCCGAGTCGAAGAGCCGCTGGAAGGAGTCCCAGCGCGAGGCCCGGCCGTCCGCGTAGGCCAAGTCACCTCGGCATGCGAAGGCCCCGTACAGTCCGTGGGTGGGTCCAAGGGAAGGGACTGGTGCGTCTTAGTACCAACTCTATCAAACGCAGCCTCCCAGCTTTTTGTTCGTTGTGTGACAGAGACGTTGACCTGCCGACGAATAAAGTTGAGCTCCAAGTTAACCCCCACCCCCCACCGAGCCAATGTTGGGCAGTGTCAATCTCTATCTCCCCCACGAGCTGATCCTGTATCAATGGCAAACCATGAGAAGATGATGCAATGAACACACAAAAAGCGCTACACCAAAAAATGGCGGCTCATCCAAGAACCCCTTCCTTAACTCAGCGTCTCTTTGGGTCGGCACACTGTTGGTTGCTCCAGAAGCGCAAAATGATAAATATGTAAATATGATTCTCTGAAGCAACAGCAATGTTCTGACCCAACAAACATGACAACCCAGGGTGGGGACATTGCGGGGCACGCCAGAAGGATTAGGTGTGCTCTGATGGTGCTCCTGGGCAAGGGGCCCAAGAGCACGCCGAAGTCCAGATGCTCCGCTTGGGCCCGGATATCGCGGCAGGTGGCCGCACTCCAATTGGTCTGACCCACGTCACCTCGGGCGAAGGAAAAACATCCCACCGAGGGGGGTGTTGCACCTGGTGTTGAAGGGCGGCAACTCTCTCATTTTTTTGGCAAAGTGTGGTGGGAATGAAACCACTCAAACGAGCTACTCTCAGAACCTACCCGCAACCTCCCCACAAGTGAATGTCAGGTTGCGCCACAGCCCCCGGTGACACCAAAGCATGCGGCCAGAAAGTCTGGGGTTTGTTAATAAAAAGTAGGTTAAGCCACCCACAAATTTTGCGTCAACCGCTGGTTCCGCAAACTTTAGTGTCTAACTTGAATTTCACCGCTTCCCCGGCTGGCGCTTTTCATGTTCAAATGTCCCGCATCCTTCCCCCCCGGAACCAAAAGCGACGAAAAGACAGAACGAAAGCCATAAGCTTTGGCCCCCGGCCCAGCACTGCCACCCGCAGCTCCTTGGCTCCGGCAGCCGGGGGCGTCCGCAGGTGCCGCCACCGCCCAGGGCCAGAGGGGCCAGAGAGGCGGAAGCCTCGCGGTTCGCTTCCGACACGTGAGGGAGGTGTTGTCTGTATACATGCATATACATTCAAACAAATCAAAGAACGCATATGTGTATGTATAAAGGAGAGAGCGAGAGAGAGAGGGAGAGAGAGAGAGATAGACAGAGATAGGGAGAGAGAGAGAGAGAGCGCGAGAGAGCGTGAGAAACTTAATACATATATATATATATATACATATATATATATATGTTATACATATGCAGGTATCTGCGTCTGTTACCTACACGTGTAAACATAAGGGTGGTCGTCTTCGAACACATCGACGCCGGGAAGGGCTGCCGAGCAGCGGTATCTCCTCCCCGGCTCCAAGTCCGCGCGCGCCTGGAACAGCAGCGGGCTGCGGTACCTCTCGCCGGGTGCGGGTTGCTTCGGGAACCAAAGGCGCAAAGATGGTCGATCGAACCAGAGCCAGGCACCTTCCCTCCGAAGACACATTGCTTTTCAAATATTGATTGAGAAGCTGTAGTTGCTGAAGAGAGATTGGCAGGTTATCTCGGTCAAACCAAAGATCAACTATGGACAAAACACTGGTCCATAGGTGTCGACCCTGGGCTTGTTAGACTGTCCCCTCACCTCGCCTCTGGCGCTCGCAGGGGTTCAGGTTGCGGTGGCCACACTGGATGTCGTAGCGCTGGCTCTCCGGGCTGGCGACAGGCGACACTTCATGCGGCCCCGGCTTCCGGCCGTCACCTTTGCCCGGTTTCAGAGGGGGGAAAGGTGAGGGGCTCCGGCGGTCCTGATCCTGATCGTCTTGATGGGCTCATCCAGCTCTTGAATCCTCAGGTGCCCCAAATTGCCATTTGAGGCGTTTGAAGGAGCCTTGCAAAGCTTCATCTGGGCCTGGCTACTCAACCCCTGTCGACTCAAGCGAACTTCAAACTCCATGGCCCCTGAATGGAGGGTGCCTGCATTTGTAGCTATACATGTGGTTATTCTCAAACGTTCGCATATGCCGCACATGATCCATTGCATTTTCCACTGTAGCGGTTTGGCAGCGATCCAGACATTATACACCTGAACATTGCCTTGTAAACGGTGGTTTCCCTTTATTTTGGTGGAAAATGCCATGTTTCAAATTGGCAAAATGTATCTTTTAAGGAGCCCTGTTTAGGGGTTGGACCCCCGTTGATGCCAAAGACGTCAACCCTCATCCCAGCAGCTCGACGGTGGCATTCTCCACGGCCCAGCCGATGGACACAGACCCAGGGCCCACCACGCTGACGTGCACTTGCTCCGCGCCCATGACAGCGGGGTATGTGCGACGTCTGTGTGTGGTGAGCTGAATGGGCTTGGTGGGGTTGGTGCAGTAGCTGGCTGGTGTGTGGCTGGTGTGTGGCTGGTGTGTGTGTGTGTGGCTGGTGTGTGTGTGTGTGTGGCTGGTGTGTGTGTGTGTGTGTGTGTGGCTGGTGTGTGGCTGGTGTGTGGTTGGTGTGTGTGGCTGGTAGTAGCTGGTGTGTGGCAAATCATGATTTCACAGGCGGGGCGCATGGCCGTTCCTCAAAGAAGGGTAGGTTAACCTTCGATTTCGGCGTTACAGAATTCCGGGGCATCGAGCCGCAAACTGGCATGGCCAACCAAGAGCTCGGACAAGGATGTGTTTATGTACATGCGTTGTATATCAAAAAAACATGAAACACATCACTGTCACAGAGCAACCCCATGTCGATCCCCCCGCGCCTCAGCCTGGCGGACAATCTTGACCGCCCGGGCGCCTCTGATCCTCACACAGCCTCTTTGCCTGGGACCTTTCTAGATCCCCAAAGCTTCGCAGCTCAGTCCTCCTCTTTGCCACCACGGCAGCCGCCAGCGTCAAGACGCCCCCCCGCACCACCGCAGGGAGTCCTTGGGCGCTCAGGGCGCTTGGCACCTGGGCACGCAGCTGAAAATGTCTTCCGTCTTCGAGCGAAGCGTCTGAGGCCACAACCTGGACGTGCGCCTGCAGAGAGGGCGGCGCAGGCCTCGTCGCGATGGGAATGCACCACGACGATTCCAGCGGTGCGTGTAAATTCAGCAGCCGTGTCGGGAATTGTGTTTGAAGAGGACGGGAAGAGCACAAAGACTGAGGACAGAAGAGCCAAGTCAAGGAGAATCAAACAAAACTCCCGCTGTACAAGGATGCTTGCACCACCCCCGCCCGCATCCCAGCTTTCGTGTCGGCGACAGCATTCTGAACGAACCACTGACGCGCGACCTCTTCCACAGGTCCTGCTTCTTCTCTGCACGGTCCCACTTCGATCATGGTAGCTACCGTCAACCACGTAGACCAGGCCATTGACGCTCGTGTAGTCGCGAAACAAAGCACGGAGCTTGTCCTGGCCCCCTAGATCCCAACTAGCGAGCTTTCAAGTTCTTGTGCTCTAGTGTGCCACTTTCGGGCCATCCGATGGGTTCGTGATGACTACATCAGAATCAGCAATTTGCATCTTTTTCAAAATGGTGGTCTTACCTGCTGGTCAATCAGATCACATGCTCGGTTAGATCAACTTGTGTCTTGATCCAAGCTTCCGCCGCATCGCCGATTTCCACTTGCAGGGGGCTGGCCACAGTTGCGTCTATCTTCCAGGCACAAACAGCCGCAGCGCCAATGACGAGCCCGGCCACCAGGGCATGCAGCGAGGGGGAAGCCACCCAGGTCGCCCGACGGCGTGCCACGAAAACTTGAGAAGCGGACCTCCAAGGCTTGTTACCTTGCAGCAAAATGTCGTGGGCCAAGGGTCACCGCCACCCATGTGTCAAAACCAAGCGGAGGCGTCCCTTCGGCTGACTGAAGGCAAACTGGACACCAACAATTCTGGTTCTGAAAATACGCAACCCGCCGCCATGGCCAGGTCCAACGAGCCGTGACGAAAACCGCCGCGCTCGTCCAGTCGACGACTCTTGGGGCTCCCGGCACGTGCTGCTCCGCCGGCGCCAGGAAGGCGAGATCTGTGGCCGTTTCACGAGGGGCTGTCTCATTTGGCTGTGGGTCAAAACCAATGGTACCGTTTTGGGGTAGGTGCACCACCCAGTTTAGTCGATTTTAGCGGGGATTGGCATGTTCACTGGGGGTGCAGGATTTTGACCCACAGCCATTTCACATGGGGCGTTCGACCTTCCTGTTTATCTTGATCCACCCCTGAAATCCTGACATGAGCAGGTTGGCGCTTCTGGGCTTGCTCTTGCTTGGCCTGCGGGTTCGGAACGCCGGGTTTGGGCCATGACTTTGTCCCCCGCCTGCCATGGCGTCAGTGCTCGCACTTCAACCGTCAAGGCCCGGGAACGCGAAATGCTCCGGGTGGTTTCCGGTCTTATGGGTCCATGTGCCATGCCAGTCGATGCTTCCAACACATGGCTGATGAAGATGGCTCGCGGAGCACAGGTCTCGCGGACCTCTCAAGTTCTGCCACATGAAACACCTGCAAATTCAACCCACGCCGGCCGCTTAGATGACGCTTCCATCAGCCGCGATGTTTTTCATGCAAGCAGGATTTTCCGCTGCCATGCACTGCCATTGACAAAGCGCCGCTGGAAAATCCAGTCCAATGAGCAACCAGGCTGGTCAAAAACAGAATGCAACTCAAATCAGAAACATTGACTCACGATTTCGGAGCGGCCAAGTGCGATCGGATGTGAATTATCTGCACAAGAAATGCAAGAGCTATAGGACATGAGGATATGTAGCCTTCGCCGGATGGGACGAGTGAAGCCTGGGGTCTTAAGTGACAGCTTCACAAAGCACATCAACCACATGGGACTTGTTAGGAAGCTTCGTGCTGCCTCATCAGCCGCACCTTCGGTGACTTTGTCGGGCAAATCAAAACACGCTTGAAAACGATACAGAGAGCGAAGAGTTGTGTTGCCTATCCGCCAATCCTTGCGTTGAGCTGCTCTCTTCAGCAGAACGTGATGGCTGAAAGCTGGCAATGTGGTAAACCCTCTGATTATTCAAGCCTGGAGATTCAATCTTCAAAAGCAAGGAGAACAAAAGATCGGGGAGAAACGTGCCAAGTCATTTCCAGGCCCCACGGGTCTGGCTCTGGCCCATCCGGTGTGCCGGACGAGCTCTCGCGTGCGCTCACGGGACTCGGCATCGCGAGGGGCTGCGTCCGAAAAGTCGCAAGTTGGTTTGGCAAATACACCGAAGGGGTGGAATCTGACGAATTGCAAGTAGACTCAAAGCCAGTGTGGTTATTTGCTTGCCCCTGTTTAAGACTTACGCCCATGGTTCAGGCGGAAGTTTGCATTGAGCCACTTCCAGCCACGAAATCCAATGGGCCAGAGATCCGCACCCGGATGCGGGGGTGGACTTTTTGTTCACAGGGAAACCGACTCGAGACCCATTGTATGCTGGTCGCCTCAAATTCGGAGAGGGCGCTCCTTGAAGGAAAACCCGGAGGACCCCAACTCGCTGGCTGTGTTAGTGGATCTGGGTGTTCTGCGAGAGGCTCAGAAAAGAAATCTCCGGCTGGGATCTGGCTCCATGGCTTTTGGCGGCGTTTCCGCCTTTTCAGGCGATCCTCGAGAAAATTCGGGGAATTGCCCCAGCTCACAGGGGCGCCACGAGGCCGGATGCGTTCTGGCACGCCGGTCCGGACGGGATGATCCCGTGGAAAAGGGCGCGCCTTGGGTGTCTAAAGGGAAAGCAGGACGAGCGTTTTAAGGGCGCCCGGTTTGGGGGAACCAGCCCGCACTTGATTCGTCCGAACAAAAACATGCCGCAGCATGGCTCAAACCATGACTGCCAAAGCCACAAATGGGCCAAACACAATGTAGCAAGACGGTGCCCCCTCAAAGGCCGTGACCAGCTGTCATCAGCCATGAGGCATTTATCCACTCCATCCTTTCAACCCTCCGAGTTAGCGGGTGGCCAAACCAGGCACCAGCAAGCGGCAAAAACCTTGGACTTCGAGTCTCAGAAACCGGAGGAAGGTCTACATGAACTAGCCCAAAGCTCTTGTGTTGCTCATCATTCCAATATTCCGACAAACAATTCTCACCACACCATACAGCTGCAAAAAAAACTTAACCTACAAACCTCAAGCTACTAACTAAACGCTTTACCAGGGATAACCATCCCTTGCCACGCATGTCAAAGACTGGACTTCTTTCAGTGGCACATGGCCTCTGGCCGCTTCCAGGTCCGTCCAGGCTCCTGAGCTCGAGGCTTTCGGGGGACGGGTTGAGGCCGCGCGGCTTTGACGGAATGGACGGGTCCTGCGAATGGACCAATCGCCTCCAGAATAACTCCGATTGCTAGTCCGGGCGCGGGAAAAAGCTGCGCATAGCCGAAGTTAGCCACTTTCAGAATTGTCGACGTCAAGAAGTCTGCGACATGGGAGAGTCGATTGGCAGATCAGCGCAACTGGGAGCCTGGCTTTCGTCCTGCCAAGACGGGCGCGTCTCTCTGCTTGGCAAACCAGTCTTGCTATAGGTCCTAATGGGCTCAAAAGCCGATTTAGTTTCTGTCAAGGAAGTACTCATTCCAGGCCCCAGCACCAAAGCCAAAAGTCGAACCACCCCAAGAAGTTCCATTCTTGATAGCTTTAAAGAGGGAGTCCTCCCAAACAGTGAGGTGCAGCAAACAAAGCAGTGCTTGGCCCAAAGAGCCCAAAAGAAAGCTCAGGCCGCCACTCTTCAGGCTCGCCTGACACAGCGTCCAAAAAGGCACCAGGAAGAAATAAAAACATATTCCCTACCCTCTCTCACAGGCACACGCATACATGTGTGTCTATACATGCTATATATATATATATATATGAACAGATACTACGTTGCATGACTCTTGACATATATATATATATGTGATTCGGGCACGAGCCTGTGCCCAGGCAATGGGTAAGTTGGGGTAAACAAGCCACAAAAGAAAGGTTCCCCAAAAGCAAACCAATCCCCGGTCCCAAAGATCAGGGTTTCCCACACACCAGAGAACAACAACCAAAGGAAAACAAACCAAACAAGAAAAGGGTTAACCCGCAACCTTGGTCGACAACAGGCCGCACGACTGGTCCCTACCAACCTGGCGGCGGCCCGAGGTCTCTTTCTCCCCCGAGATGCCGTCGGTCGACGCAGGGGTTCGGCGACGCCCATTCGAGGCGCGACGGAACCCAAAATCTTGAGCCAGCCAAACACCACAGGTCAGTCACTACCGCGACATCCCTGGTGATGAAATAAACCATGGCTAATCACACCCCCCTCACGAGGAGCCCGTCATATGACGGGTGGAGCGTGCCATTTACTGATAGGATTTAACTGCTCGCATACGTCCGCAAACAGCTGGACACTACCGCCGTCAGCGGTGGAGCAAACCCACAAAGGCAGTCGCGCGACATCCCGGGCATTAAATTCCCGCCACCACCCCGAATTAATCGGGGTAACGCTGTCCAACATACCTTGTGGAAAAGTCCACATGACGACAATAGGTCACAACTGTTTGCATCAGAAATGCAAGAAGTTTAATTCTTATCAGAAGCCATGAAATAAAAGATAACGTATGTCCATTAGTACCCTCGCCTAACGGCAAGAGGTACTCCTGACCATGCGTACCTGAAAAATGCCTGAATTCCGCAAACCCGGGAGTAACCCCCCATCAGTTTGCTTTCCCTCTCACTCATACTGCTTCCGGATGAGCACGTCCAGCAGCTCAGCAGCGGTACGGGAGAGACATGACCTCCGCGCCTCAGCGGTCCGGGAGGAACATCACCACCTCCGCACCGCGCCGACCATTGGAGAACGGACGCAAGCCTATCGGCCGCAATCCTCGTGACTCAGCCTACCGGCTATCGTCACGTCTCCTCCGGTCACGTCCGCCCCGCGCACGGTCCCTATCACGATCCCTTTCGGATCTCCTGCGATCATCTCGCCTTCGATCCCGCTCCCGATCGAGTGAATCATCATCACGACGATCACGAGCATCGTCCCTCCTCCTGTCGCGATCATCCTCGCGCCGCGGACGATATCTGCGCCTCCTCGACTCTCTGGAATCCCTGGTGTCCACGGTCCTAACGGACCTCCGAGAAGGAGTACGGGAAACATCCGACTCCCTACGCCTCCTCCCAGATTGAGAGTTCGTCACAATCTGGTTGAGAGCTTCCAGTGCCGACGCGTCCTCACCATTTCTGATGAAATCCCTAACCTGCTTGTTCAGCACTCTGTTGGTGGAGATCGTCAAGAAAGCGTCCACCACCGAACTCTCAGGCAGCACCAGGAAGTGACCCTCCACCGGGCTCGCCGCAGCCCGCTCAGCAGACTGCAGCCGGATCTCCCCGCCTTCAGGCTTCTTTGCCATCGCCTTGGAGGCAGTCAAAGGCGCTACCGCATCCTTTGCCGAAGATCTGCCAAGCGCGGAGTGAAGATCATCCCCGCTAGCTTCTCTCGCTGCCGCACCTGGTCTGCTGTCGACGTCGCCAGGCCTCGTGGATGCCTCCCGCTTTGTCGACTCCTTCGCAGCCTCGTCGGGATCCCAACGGGACTTCCTTTCTCTCTTCTGCCCTTCGGCCGACCCGCGGCTACCGCCGGGAGCGTCACCTCCGCCTGTCTTCTCCTTCTTGACCTCAACCTTCGGTTCGGCCTGCTTCGTCTCCTTAGCCACAGCTTTTGGAGCCGGAGCACTCCTCGCCTCAGCTGCCGAAGCAGCCTTCCCTTTCGGCTCTGCCTTAGGAACCGGGGTCACTTTAGCCTTGGCACTCGGCCTGGCCCCTTCAACCACCATCTCGGCCCAAGACTTCTTCGGCTGAGCTGCTGCTGCATCAACCTCCATCGGAGCAGGTCCAGCGTCATCCTTCGCCTTTGGGACGGATGGGCTACCGCCCTTACCGGATCCTTTACCCGGCACTTCACCTGATTTTGGTGGCGGGCCGGAAGGACTACCGCCCTTACCGCCCTTTTCCCCCTTTTTCCCTTTTCCTTTTCCGCCCTTGGGGACCGGCTCCTGCTTGGGACCAGGACCCGGCGCAGCATGATGCACCGATTGGAGTCCCTCGATGTCCACGTTCAAAGGTTCGGGTTGACGACCGTCAAGAACCGTCCTCACCCTTTCGTCACTAACGTAGACGAACGGGTCACGGAAGGGTGCGGGAGGCTCCGACTGTCCGGCGCTGATCGCCTTCTGCACCTTGGCTATCGCCTCCTTCAACCTCTTCTTCTCATCATACCCTGTCTCCGATACCATGTACTCCCTGAGCTGCGACATCAACGCATGACTCTCCAGGATGTCCACGTCCTTTCGATGGGTCGGGTACAATGGGGTCAGATGACCAGCCGCAGAACCAATCACGTATGCCATCGGAATATAGAATGACAAGTACGTGTCATGACGAGCGAACTTCCTAACGGAAGTCGTCATACGCCTACCCCACTGAGCAGCGTGTCTTGGGTTGGCCCGGAAGTACTCCGTGACCGACTCAAATCTATCGACTTGGTTGGTCTTGATCAGGTGCTTCGCCACCCACTTCTCCACAAACGCATCCGAGGCCGAAATCCCGGACACATAGGAGAATTGGAAGAGCACCTTCGCCAGCTCATCCCACGCCGCATCGACACCTCCCTTGTCTTCACCAAGATAAGGGGGAAGTCTGATTCCGCTCTGCACCGTCATCCTTAGATCGGATGCCATTGAATAGGAAATCAAATTCCTTTTGATGACTCCGACCACTTCGGAGGGAATCCTCCTGGGCTTGAACTGCCCCATGGTCCTCACCCACTCCGGCACGATGTGGCACGTTTCGAAGTCCTTTTCCTCCGCGTTGGGGATAAAGTTCGGGTAAAAGACCGGGAGCGCGCAATTCGGGACACAAGTGCATCCCATTCGGCATCAATTCCGCGCACCTCAAGCAGAACGTGGCAGTCACATTCAGCCTGATCTCTTCCCGTGATCGCTTGTGCTCTCCCCTAACGGGGGTGAAGTCACCGTAGTCCCATGCCCGATGGTACACTATCGTGTAATCATCGTACATATACGCCGCCTTCCAAGCCCCCATGTGGATCTCGTTCCTAACGGCAAGAGTCTTCCTTCTCGTCAAAAACACGGGTCCAACCAAGGACCAGTGCACCCGAAGATCCACCATTACCACCACGTACCTACCGGAGTAGTTCCGCAGCCTGTCCCTGACATACCACGAAGGCGATACCTCAGCATCCGGCGCCATGGCTCCCACAAGTGGGATCAGGCCCTCATCCTGCCTACCATCCCCAATGGTCTCGTACACATCGGGCCTCGTGATCAATATCTCGATCATGGCCTTTCCATTTCGCCTCACCCTTTGGAGCTGAACCGCCTTCCGAAAGTCCGAGAACTTCATGATGACGTATCCCACCATGGGGAGTTCATTCCAATGCATCTCATACATCAGAGATCCGCCAGGTGCATCTTCCTGAGTATACCTGTGCCTAACGGCACTGTAACTCAAGTCGCGTCCGATCCGCGTGTGCCTAACGGCAACCAACCTGGTGCTCTCCTTGAGGAGAACGCCATCCCCGTCGTACATGACCATGAGCATCGCCTCCACTTGCCCTATCGGGAAAGCTTTAAGCGTCGGAATGAAGAATTTCCAAGACATCTCAGCGTTCTCCATGCCCGAAATCTCCTTCAGAAACCAGATGGCCTGGTCACTTTTCACCCAGTTTCCAGCCTCACGTCCGGTCTCCTTCAGCACACGTTCCTCGAATAACTCCGAGACTCTCTTTGAATTGATGACCAAGCCGTCGAAATCGCACGAGAGCAGTCTCATCAACTCCTTCGCCGCCTCCCGTCCTGCAACAGTGCCCACGGTCTCCTCGTAGTTCGGGAGGTATTCGCCCAACCTCGTCTTCGAGGGAACCACAATCTGGCAAGTGACGGCCTCATCAGGGATAACTCCCGTTTCCCTTAACTCCGGATTGATCTCTCGCCTATCGGCAAGATAATCCTCCTTCCCATCCAGTATCACAAGATTGTAGGTCATCTTGCTCGCCGCCCCACTAGGCCTGAACTTCCTGCTATCATCCAGCTGGTCAGGAGCAAAGGGTCCACTAGGGGCAGCTGCACTCACCAGAGGCGCTCCTCGCCCAGAGCAGAGGTGCTTCTTGTGGAAGTTCACCATCTGATTCAGCTGCGATAGTGCGTAGGCACGATCCTCCAATGACGCACTCTTCATCCCAGCCTCAGTCAGAGGAGCCTCAGGCTTGTCATAACTCGCCTTACCGCCCCATCTCGCCGCGACCAGCTCAGCAGACTTCGCAGGGTCGATCAAATTCCCCGACCACCCAGGCATATTGCTCAACCTCCTAGTCAACGCGTCTACCGACGCAGCCAAGTCTTCGTCCGTCACGGTGTAAGGGTCGACCTTCTCCCTGTCGTCCTGACCCACATCCGGAAGCCTATAGTCCCCGCGGATGGCCTCCATCGCGGTCCTCTCGGCTTCCTCAGCCTCCTCTTGCGTGGCCACAGCTCTAGGAATCAGGAGCGCGACCTCAGCCGGCAACGACTTCTCCATGTTGATTGGAGTATTCTTGGGAAGGATTCTTCGATCATCTCCCTCCCCGCTGTACACGTATTCCCGAGCAGCCTTTCGGTACTCCTCAGCGGTAGCCCCTCTGTAGTTGGAGGCCTTGCTCGGGCCTTCCTTCCCAGCCTCGGTACCCCGAGGCGTGGGCTCCTTCGTCTCGGTG